GTGCACGCCAATGTGTACACGGGACCTCGGTTTTTCGTCCCATCCGAACGACTAGACAGCTGTCCTTGTCAGGCCCTCCGTCCTGCATCACTGACAAGGGGGAACCACGCCGGAAAATCGGGATGAACTTTCTCGGCCAATGCAGGAATCGAACACCCGACCTCCAGTCTAGCGAGCCAGCGTCTTACCCACTTAGCCATCGTGATCCCCGGCTCTTGATTGTACGATCCGAAAGACTGGCTTACTTTACATCAGCTCGGCAGATGAGTTCTAACAAGTCAACAAAATTTCTTTGTATCTAACTGATTGCTTATGCTCCGTTCAAGAATGACATTATAGTAGTCTCAACTTATTTAATTATCAATGACACCAATATTATAGATGTGTTCTAAATATAGCAATTTTATTATCAATGGAACTTATATTAGGGATGTGTTCTAAATAGCAATTTAATTATCAATGGAACTTATCTTATATTAGGGATGTGTTCTAAACTTATTACCGCCTAGAAGGGGATAATAATAACAAAATATATCGGCCTATAAGGAGGTAAACAACAACCCGTTTTTACCGTTCACTAAATTTATGACCTCCATCAGTTTACAAGACCCTAGCCCTAACCCTAAACATAGGTCCACCACGCACAGGGACAGTAGAGATACCTCCACAAAAAGAAAAAAAAATGTTTCAAGATATTATGGATAGCCGAGCCCCAACGCATCATTCAGGTTTGGCTGAATTGGGATGAAACAAACTTTTGCCGTGCACCAACAAGTACAATCATTGAATGAATCATAGACATAAGAACTGCAACTGTAATGTTCTTATTGTCTTCGTACCAGACCATTTTATGAACCTATACATTGAAATCACCAGAAATGGGCAAAACTGGCTATAGGACAGTAATCAAGTACCTGCAACTGAAAGGACTAACCGCAACACAGATACACCGACATGGTCTCCCTCTACATAGGGATGAGGCCCCTTCCTTTTCCTCAGTAAAGAAGTGGATTGCGGAATTTAAGCGTGGCAGCGAGAGCCTTGACGATGGCCAGCGTCCTGGAAAGCCATCAACAGCAAGCATTCAAGAAAACATTACCCGGATGCATGACATGGTGATGGCTGATCGACGATTGACCAATCGATATATTGCCATCACTAGAGGGATGAGCACATTATCGCCAACGAGTTGACAAAAGATACTGCAAGAAGGGTCCCAAAGCCCTCGACTGCGGATCAGAAACGTTTCAAATTCCTGACGTCCCGTGACAATCTGTGTCGTTTTGAAGCAGATCCTGATAATTTGTTTCCAAAAATGATAAAGGAACTAACCAATCGCCATTTACCTAGTTGTCAGCTGTGAATGACTGTTTTTAGGGTGGCTGAAGAAATTTCTTCCTGAACGGCATTCAGGCCTTGCAACACCTGGAAGGGGGCCATATACGTATAAAAATAAATGGAAACCCTCGACTTTGTACAGGTCGGTCACAGATAGTCGTAGAACTTTTTAACCAGCATTCTTACGATAAGATACGCATATTCTGGGAAGTGGGCCTTTATGTCCATGTGATAGAAGTTATAATTTTACCGAACGGTAAGAACGGATTGCCGTTTGCCTCCTTATAAGGCGATTTATTTCGTTATTAATAATATTAGAACCGGTGGTTCTAAATAGCAATTTAATCAAGTTCTAATTAGCATTTAATTATCAGTGAAACCTATATTAAGGGCGTGATCTAATTAGCAATTTATTGTATGGATTGTTCTAAATAGCAATTTAATTATCAATGATACTTCTATTATGGACGTGTTCTAGCGAAATGAAATGAAATGAAATGCGGTTTAACGTCCTACTGTTATGTTCCGACTGGGCTAATGAAGACGGGCATATGCCATACAGTGTGCTGCGAGGGAAATTTTGTCCAGGCAGCGGGCTTGCGGCCTACTCTTTTATTAAGGAATATTTTACGTGCACGCCAATGTGTACCCGGGACCTCGGCTTTACGTCCCACCCGAACGACTAGACAGCTGTCCTTGTCAGACCCTCCGACCTGCACCACTTACAAGGGACAACCACGCCGGAAATCACGATGAACCTTCTCGGCCAACACCGGGGTCAAACCCGCGACCTCCGGGTTAGCGAGCCAGCGTCTTACCCCCACGCATTCTAGCAAATACTCCCCCACTACTTTCTTTTTCTCACTTAGATATTTGATTTAATCGTCAAGATTACTATCTAACTGAGACTAAAGAGATATTTTAAGTGCTTTTTTTGCCCGTTGGCGATTCGGGATTTTAAGTATAGATTTACAAGTCTGTTATTTAAAATGTTTTGACTTCATAATCTAGAGTAAAGCAGTTAGTATTTTGTAATCATGGTTAATTAAACACGCATGCCTAGTTAAAGGGGCATTTCATAGAAAGCGGAAGTTTTACGACTGGCTGTAACGGTCGCATAGCCGACCCTAAAAAAATGAATTTTCAAATGGTGATGTGGAATCGGGTTTGGATAGAGAATCGAGTATACCTCCATCGCCACCATCTTGGAACAACAACAGCACCGCGATGAGTAGCGTTTGGGGTCCAGTTCCAGACCCAACAAAACTCAACAGAACATGTTCCGATCTATTTCAACGAACCCCTCGTAACTTGACATTAAATGGGTTATCCCTTTAAAGGAGCTAAATCTATATTCGTTGGAACCTAACATAGACGAAAATAGGTCAAAAATCACACATTGATGTAATATGAGTGTTATAAGAAAGTGATCTACATTCATTAACACTTTTATTGTAATTTCGATTCATTGGTTGTCGTCGAAATACGTGAGCAGTCCAAATAGAATGCCAGTCGCTCGTTTCTGGTTAGTCCAGGATTCATCAGACTTACAGCTTGTTGTTTCACTTACGCGCTGACGTTTGGTCTCGTTCATCCAGGCGCCTATTACAAACCGCGCTCGAGGGCAGTGTAGAGAACACGGTGGTGTGTACTAATTATAAAATTGTTCACTGTATCTTAAATATTTGATATCAGGAGCCCATATTTTCAGGTTAAGATAACAACATGACTAGAACATGAGTTAGAGCTTTACGCCCTTTAACGCAAGTTCGAGGCACCATAGATATGTTATCGGTTTGTTATCATCCCCTTAAAGGAGGCGAGTCTTTAACTCAATATCATCCAAGACCGATATGCAAGACCGACTCTCATCTGTGAACAAAACAGTTCTCCATTGCCTGTGTCGCCAGTTCTTGTGTTGTTGGGCAAACTGTAGACGTTCACGTCGATGGCGAGGGGTGAGGATCGGTCCACGGTAAGGTCTACGGCAATGGATGTCCTCTCTGGTGAGACGTCGGCGCACTGTATCGGTACTGATGGGTCTTCCGCGAGTTCCCACTGTCTGAAGTGCTGTCTCAGATGCCTGTGTGAAGGGATTCTACACGTTCTGTCGCACACCATGGCGGTGTTGTCGCCTTCCCAGCGGGCACACAACGTTGTGACAACGTTGTTCAGGGGTTGTATCACAACGTCTGAAATAGGTCAGCTGTAGGTTGTTTTGCAACAAACTCTTACGTTGTGACAACGTTGTACGGACGTCAAAGCAACATTGTCACAACGTTGTGTGGTGGTTGACGAAAAGTTGTGACAACGTTGTACGGACGTCAAAGCAACATTGTCACAACGTTGTGTGGTGGTTGACGAAAAGTTGTGACAATGTTGTACGGACGTCAAAGCAACATTGTCACAACGTTGTGTGGTGGTTGACGAAAAGTTGTGACAACGCTGTACGGACGTTCAAGCAACATTGTCACAACGCTGTGTGGTGGTTGACGAAAAGTTGTCACGTCAGAATTTGTTGTTTTTCAACGTTGTGTGGTGGTTGGCGAAAAGTTGTCACGACGTCAGAATTTGTTGTTTTGAGGTTGTATAAAACCCAGTATAAGCCCCATCCGAACTCCCTACAGTTCTGCCCCCACTGGACTAACGAAGACGGGAATAGGCGGCCGGGCACGATGGAAGTTAAATTAGGTGTGTGCGGGGAAGGAGGGGGGGTGCTTAAATGCCTAACAGATTTGGGCCACGGTTTTCACATAGTGAAATGATACGAGAAGTTTCAACACTCTCACTCAATTAGAATCAAAGTTATTGTGTCCCATCACAACCAATCTAATTGCTTCTTTCTGAATAAAATCAGTATCAATTAATAGGACAGTACGTAGTTTCAAAACATTCAATTCAAACGATTATATTACAGTCAATATTAATGCTAGAGTCATATAACTTTGCAGTAATGGGTAAAGGTAATAGAATCTGATCATTAAATTTTAAGTAATGGTCATGTAATGAGTAATGGAAGATTTCAAAAGTAATGAGTAATGGAAATGGAAATAATTACATTCCGAAAATCATGTAATGGTCAATTACATTTCAATTACATTTAATGGCGCATTCTTTGAATGACATTTAGTAATTAGAACATAATCAAATAACACACTTTTATGGAATAACAATTACTATGGTTTATTTCACTGCAACGTTTCAACAAGGTGAACATGAGTAGCTATCACAAGCTTTTGATGAAACAACGGTGAATAATCGTATATACTAGGATTAACTCATTATACAATTAAAAGATCAAACAGAGGATTGTTGAGATGTACTGAAACCATACACATTACTATATAATTGAAACCAGTTTAAAAGAAAATAAGGCATAGATCTATACTATGATTAACTAAATATACATTCATAAAAGATCAAACAGAGGATTTACAGACATATATTACAACCATACTCTTATGCATTCAGTGATAACTAGAGTTTTAAAAGCATATAACAAGGAAACATATTTAATGTTATTACATTTTATTACTATTTAAAGATTAGTGCTAATTTAGCATTTAATCAATCAGATTTAAAGACATGTCTTTAAATCTGATTGATTAAATGCTAAATTAGCACTAATCTTTGTCTTTAAATCTGATTGATTAAATGCTAAATTAGCACTAATCTTTAAATAGTAATAAAATGTAATTATTTACTTTCAATGTAATGGGTAATGAATGATATTGCTAAAAATGAGAAAGTAATTTTAATGCAATTGGTACTGTAATAATAATAATAATTTATTATTTATAATGCGCCTATTACCAATATAAAACACTCAATGCTCAATGGCGCAGTTAACATTTTGTGGACATCACACATAGAAAATAAAATAAAATTAAATGGATGATAAAAGAACTTAAAATGGCTTATAAAGATTATAATAAAATATGACATGTAATAAACAAATTACAACTGTACATGTACTTAATTGGTCCCTCTTCTGTCCGGCTCATATTTTAGATGAGCCGAAACTGCTGTTATTATCTCGGCTTCATTGCAGCTCGGCTGACTGATCATTACACTATCTGAAGAATACAGAAAACTGTATATTTACTCTGTCAAATTTTGTAAATTATATAATTCAGTCCGATCAAAAAGGTGGTCCTAAAGCTGTAACAGATAATTCTGCATCCCATGAATTATGGACCAAAGGTGGCTTATTGGGTAAAACGCTGGCTCGCTTGTCTGGAGATCGCATTTTCGATCCCTACATTTGCCGAGAAAGTTCAGAAGGCCTGACAAGGACAACTGTTAGTCGTTTGGATGGTATGAAGAACCGAGGCCTCGTGTACACATTGACGTGCAAGTAAAAGATCTCTTGGCAGTTGGAATTCGATATAAGAGTAGGCCATAGTACCGCTGCCCGGGCAAAATTTCCTTCATAGCACGCGGTATGGCGCATGCCCATCTTCATTAGCCTAGTCGGAGCAGAACAGTAGGACGTTAAACCCCATATGAATTATATTATATATGACCCAATAACACATTCTATATGAGGCATCGCTTGTGTTATTACTTTCATATTCTCCATAAATTTGTACGTGTAAGAAAGGCATGGGTGTTAAATTACAAAAAAAGATAGGTTGCCAGGCAACGAAACATACGCCCACAGCAGCTAAATCGTCCGGGCAGTCAACAAGAGTTGTCGCATATTTTTACTTTTTTCGGTAATGAAACATTTATAATACACTAAAATCTGATTAAGAGCAACAACTCAGAAAACCATTAGAATTTGTTTGGTTTTTATAAAGTTCTGCCCCATGCTAACGTTTTGTATACAAAACCTTTAATACAGTATCATGGATTTAGCTGTTCCAAGTCATAAAGATTCATTGAAAATCAATATACTTGTTCGTCTCAAGATCTTAAACTCTGTGTATCAATCTGAAGTCAATCGGATATTAACTTTGGCCTCTAGAGCGTCCACAAGATTTTTCAAAGTGATCAAGGTCCATAACTTTGGCAGTAATTATCAGGAATCTTTGAAAATCAATAGGATTATTCGCCTCGTGAGCTCAAACACTGTGTATACATTTAAAGTCAATCAGATATTAACTTTAGCCTTTAGCGCATCCACAAGGTTTTTTGAAGTGATCAAGGGCCATAACTTTGGCAGTAATTATCGAAAATCACTGAAAATGAATATACTTTTCGTCTTATGACCTTAAACACTGTGTATAAAATTTAAAGTCAATCGGATATTAACTTTAGACTCTAGAGCGTCCACAAGATTTTTCAAAATGATCAAGGGCCATAACTCTGGCAGTAATTATCGTAAATTGCTGAAAATCAATAGGATTCTTCGTCTCGTGACCTTAAGCACTGTGTATAAATTTAAAGTCAATAGGATATAATAACTTTGGCCTCTAGAGAGTCCACAAGATTTTTTTGAAGTGATCAAGAGTCATAAATCTGGCAGTAATTATCAGAAATCGCTGAAAATCAATAGGCTTCTTCGTCTCATGACCTTAAACACTGTGTATAAAATTTAAAGTCAATCGGATATTAACTTTAGACTCTAGAGCGTCCACAAGATTTTTCAAAATGATCAAGGGCCATAACTCTGGCAGTAATTATCGTAAATTGCTGAAAATCACTAGGCTTCTTCGTCTCATGACCTTAAACACTGTGTATAAATTTAAAGTCAATCGGATATTAACTTTTGCCTCTAGAGCGTCCACAAGATTTTTTGAAGTGATCAAGGGCAATAACTTTGGAAGTAATTATCGGAAATCGCTGAAAATCAATAGGCTTCTTCGTCTCATGACCTTAAACACTGTGTATAAATTTAAAGTCAATCGGATATTAAGTTTGGCCTCTAGAGCGTCCACAAGATTTTTTGAAGTGATCAAGGGCCATAACTCTGGCAGTAATTATCGGAAATCGCTGAAAATCAATAGGCTTCTTCGTCTCATGACCTTAAACACTGTGTATAAATTTCAAGTCAATCGGATATTAACTTTAGCCTCTAGAGCGTCCACAAGCAATTGTGGACGCCGGACGGACCGACGGACGTACGGACGGGGGCGACGACAATATACGACCACATTTCAATGTGGGCGTATAAAAAGATCAACACTCATCGATGAAGTAATAAAAACTCGTGTATGCCCATACCATGTTTGATTATCCGATATTTAAGGATACATGTATGTTCGTAAATTGAGTATGATAAAAACAAACCTCGGACAACTTTGTAAATTTCTAAGTCCATTATGGACCACCTCCCTTTATTTCCCTTTAAATTAAATTGGGCCATTAGGGAATTAGACATCAACCTGTTAAAATAAAAAGACATACTGTTTATGCGTTTGACAATACCACGAATTTTGACTTTCCATTCCTTGACACCTAGAAATGGACATAAATGGGTTGCAAAATATCACCTAGTTTACGGTGTTATATCTGATGTCACATCTGTTAACTGGATTCATTTTAAATCGATTTTTATAATATACTTGCATAAAACTTGCCAAATGTTTTTATTGTATATTTGTGAATGGATTTACATTCAATCGTTTCTGTTTTTACTGTAATGTCTAATCAGTTATGTTCGGTGAAATACGCGAAGAGAGAGAGAGAAATGGGGTTTAACGTCCACTTGACACAAACTAGGTCATTTCGGGACTAACACATGGTTCAATTTTATTTCAATAATTCGCCAGTGCGTAGGGGTCTTTTTAGCAATGGGAGGAAACCGGAGGACCCGGAGAAAACCCACCAGGTTGGACAGGCGACCAAACTCCTTGTCACGTACAACCGGGGAATCGAAACCCCGCCAGTTGACTCAATGACAGACCGTATGATACAGCGTGCGCGTGCTAACCATTCGGCCATCCAAACCCCCCATACGCGAAGAGTCCAAATTGAATGCCAGTCTTTGGCTTCTGGTTATTCAAGTTTACACCCGCATATAGTATTCTCTTGGGTATATTTAACTTCATTCTTCGAGTCTCTCTATTACAAATGAAACTTGAAAGCATTCTTGCACGCGATTCGTGTGGCAATTTCAAAACTTTAACTTTGTGTTAAATATTGGACATTAGAAGCCCATCTTTTCACGGTTACAACATTGATGTTGGGTTTAATTAAACAATGAGTCCCATGGTTGCAATGTCGAAGACTGTGGATGATATTGAGTTAGAGACTTGACTCCTTTAAGACGAAGACGATTGGAAAACGAATGTACGATTATTTTATCAATTTGTTTTCAAAAGAAAGAATACGACTTTAAACTGGTAACCACCAAGGCTCATCAGATGGGTTACCTATAGCTATAACATGAAATAAATGAAACACATCTAGTATATTATTATATTTCAATCACTGTAATATTTACAATCAATGTCAGTTCAATTATGCAGGTGTATGCTCATGAATATTGATGTTGTACATTTAATAATAAAATTACCCTTCACTTGAATTAAATCTAAAACCCACAAGCATGCAATTAAAGAGCTGATCGTGGTAACCCTTGGTCTACCAGTTCGGGGGCGATCATCCGTGGTGTTGGTGGCCCCAAAGCGTTGCTGAAGCCTGTAGATGGTCCGAACTTTGACCTGGAAGTGATTGGCAACGGCTTGGGCAGTGTGGCCAGCGTCTAGTCTTCCAAGCGCCTGGTTCCTCTGAGCTGTCGTGAGTCGTGGCATGCTGCTGGCGTTGTAGTGTGAATGATTCAACCATGTCTGGGGGTGCATTGTATAGGGCTGGTCCCGGTGAACAGCACGTGCAGCATGAGTTACATGAAAATCATGGAGAACACATTACCATCTCAAAAGTCTGGTTGGTTGCGTTTTTGAGAACATTTCCTGGGTTCAATTCTGTGTTTGGGAAAGAGCCTTATTGCTCATGTAAAGATGGAGATGGGGCCACAAATATACAATAAAAACATTTGGCAAGTTTTATGCAAGTATATTATAAAAATCGATTTAAAATGAATCCAGTGAACAGATGTGACATCAGATATAACACCGTAAACTAGGTGATATAAGGTTTGATTTTCACTATGACAGATTTCATTGAACAATAAATATATATACAATCGTAAAACGTTAGAGAGAGAGAGAGAGAGAGAGAGAGAGAGAGAGTTTAACGTCCACTAGACACAAACTAGATAATTTCTGGACCCTAAGCAGAGGGACGCCCCCCACCCCACACACCAACATCTTTTTAAAGGGGTAGCCCCAGTTGGTGCAAAATAGTTGGGTTGAATAGAGAATTCAATCCCGAACTCTTAAGAAATAGACTATTTGCCGTTTTTCAGTTTAATTACGGAACTCTCCCAGAGCATGGCAGATAAACGAGATTATTTGATGCAGTTTATGTACTTAAACAAGCATTATGTAAGAGCTAAATCTACCTATTGCAGGTCTTTCTTTGGACCTTAAGAGCGTGTCCGCGAGAAAACCATGCAGAAGGTGCTAAGGCTTCAATCACAGATTTTGACCAAATTTGGTTTATAAGTTGGGATAGTCCCAAAACACATAAATGTGCAATATTAGATAAATTTTTCAATTCCTGTATGAGAAAATTGAAAAAACATTTTTCATATGGTGAAATTGCCAAAATCTGTCTTTTCTCAAATACCAAATTTGGCAAGTCCTTACACCTTTACTATACGTAGCAGAAATACCAAACTCACACAGTTCATCGATGACTCAGTGCTGTTACCACAATATTAACTTCAGACGATTCTGGCGAATGAGATCTGTATACGGACTGGATATCAAAGCCTGTCTAAATTTCCCATTTTTCGTCACCCAAAGTTTGACGCCCTATAGCTACTTCTTTCATGGGATTGGTTTAAAAAATTTATGCTCACGTGAACAAGCAACCTCCCAACATTTGATACAAAAAATAAAAATGACCGGAATCGACTTGACAAAAACTAGGTAAACGAAACAATAACTCATGAAATTAACCTGTAATTTCCCTATTTTGGAGATAATTAACCGTAGTAGATAAAAAAACCTAACAATTTATTTTCCTTTTCATTCTTATGGTGTTTACTACCAGCCCTAAAATACATTAGTATCTGTTTTATAAAAATATCTTGAAAAAAAATACTTTCAAAGGCCTGTAATCGTTCATGGCTCATCTGGCTTCAACGGGAATTGACTTCTGCAGTTGTCCACGACCTTCCATTGGAGTTTCGACGTGCTCAATCTTAACAAACATATCCATTACTCTCAAATAGACATTATTTTAAATAAAATAATCCAACGAAAATGAAAAATTCACCTAAAAGTCAGATTCGAACCACCAACTGCATGACTTCCCCCGACCCACCCTCTCACCGAGTTGCTTGTCCCAGGGCCCCAAGGTCCATGTCGTGGGCCCTGTTCAGAGGGTTTGCCTAGGGCCTCTCTTATTCTAAATCCGGCCCTGAAGGTGCAGCTGACGGTGCCCGAGAGCTGTAGCTACCATACTACACTGTTCAATGTCACCCATTTCGACGCAATTAGGCTTCGTTGCCGTTAATATTTAAGCTTCCACATTTCTGTATTGTAGAAATCAGTGGATGTGTCCCAAAATGAATAGTGGAAACATGCTCTGAAATTAAACATTTTGTAGCCATTTTCGGTAACTTGTTTGAAAATGAAATCTTAAAGAGACAATACAACAAATATGTTAAAGGGACAATGCGACAATACCAAATATACAATAAATACAAATACACACTTATATAGAGTACAACATGGTACAAATAATGGCTATGGATATGATGAAAACGTATAAAAGTCAAAAATTTTATTTCTCTAATTAAATTTGCAAAAAAATGTATCACATAAGCTTATTTTTAGCACTTTTCAATAAGCTGTATATTGTAAGTATGTTGCATTCCGGTCATTTTTTTTACACCTATGGATACTATGTGCTTAGCACTTCAAAACCATCCAAAGAAATTCTACTTGCGACCATGAAAGAAAAAGTTACAGTGTATCTTTTTCTGCACTATAAGGACAATGTGAATATGGTACCCTAAAACAAGTCCACACAAAATTAGTATGTACTGATTTTTTTTTCAAATTAGTGCTGGGGTAGAAGTTGACCACCCGCTTTATCAGACAGGGTCAAAATTAGAAGGTTGCTATTCCACCATAGAATGCAGTCTGTGCTTAAAAAAGGTGATAAATACACATGTGAAAACCGCAATTTTACCCATAAAATGAATAATTCCTGTACAGTCCTTTAGAGCGACATCAGACTGTAACCACTTCAGCATGTTACCTCTTGCCCCTAGGGGGTGTCATACCATAAGTTTGATCAAAAACTTCCGACCCCCCATCTTAGCACTTTTTGCATGGTCTTCTCGCGGATACACTCTTAAATGTTATAAAAATGATTAATTAGTCATTTATAAACGCGGCAAGACCATAATCAACTCTCGGTGCCATCGGATAGCCCCGATTTTAAGTAGATTAGAACGGTTTGGTCATTTATTAATTTAATTTAAAAATGGAAAAGCGAGGCTAAGGTTTGAATGACCAGTACGGTGGTTACGTTCAATGCACAGATCTTGTCAAAACTGCAACCACTAATAACTTCGCTCAAAATAAAATAATTTGAATGAAATTTTCAATAAAGTAATTTGAATGAAATTTTCAATAAAGTAATTTAGCTACAACAGTCAGCTCTTTCTCTAAATCTTACATAATGCCCCCCTTAAGTGAGAGGTAATTAAAACACAACAATAACCCGTGACTACTATTACGGTCACAAAGTTTCGGTGACAGAGGTAGTCACTCTGTGAACTAGCGGCTGCCAGGCAGGATACGCCCACATTTCGCAAGAGATGGATAGAGGACAAGCTAAAAAACAAACAGAATTTTTTGTACAATCAGGGGCAAGAATCCAGAAAGTTATGGTCTGAAATGCGCAAATATCAAAAGAGGCCGAGGTCTTTGGGATATAAAGATATGTTTTAAGTTTCATCAAAATCGGGTGAAAATTGTGATCTTTACAGGGTCCACAATCTTCGTATTGCATACTTTTACACAATATGCGGCCATTTTGTCGGGCAGTTTCATTTCGATTTTCCCGAAATTCGAATTCAACCTTCATTATGGTGGATTAGTGATATATTAAAACGGTTTTTAAAATCGGAAAAAAAATGGTGACCTGTAGAGAAACCGCAAGCTAAAAATGCGATTTTTCTAACAATCAGGCGCCATAATCCAGGAAGTTACGTTCGGATATGCGCGATTATCAAAAGGAACCAAGATCTTAGTGTGTAATGGTGATATATTCACATGGGTTTTTTTAATCGAATAAAAAT